ACATGGAATTGAAAATTATTAGAGAATGTTATCAATGCTAAAATAATAGAATGACAGAATAGGATAAAAAATAACTCATTATTGGATATATTGAATATGATATAATGAAATTATAATATTGGTTATATATTTAGAATACCTTGTCTAAAATGGAGAGGCAATAGTTATTTTCAAACAAAGGAAGCATAACATAACAATGTATACAAAGATATCTTAATTGACAATAGGTGAATTTTGATAAAATTCAAGTGATGACTATGGAAAGGATGCAGAAAGACCTTGTAACCAATCGACACACTGTATGTAGTTGAAGAGGCTTTTATGTTATATGTGTTGTGTGTTTGTGTTTGTTTGAAAATAAAAACATTATTTAAAGAGGGTTGATGGTTATTACCTTTGATCGACACCAGCCAGAATGGCCAATGGAGGATAAGAGCTATAGTCTAACAACAGAACCTTCTGCTTAGAGCTCAAGCAAGTTAATTCACTTCTCTATCATAGGTACATTTCCATTTTTCAGTTGATACTTAATGTACCATGCCTTCTAGCAATTATTGGGACTACTCTATTCCTATTGGCTTATTCTGGGGGTGTAGGTGTTTGTGGTTTGTAGTTGATGTTCTAGATATCAATTGACCTTTTCTAATATGCCCTGAATGTCAGTAATTATACAGCTTTTAAACAGTCTCAAGGGATTTCCATACTCCAAATATAGCCACCATCAGACATTTCTATGGCCCAAAATAGTCTCTGGATCTGAAAAATTTGAGCTGCTGCCACAACTGGAGAAGAAAAACAAACAAGTCATACAATCCATGAGTGAATTTTCTATTTTCCATTAACAGTTTAAGTAGGTGTATATTATGAAACATACTAAAACTGTAGTGGTTGAAGTGTTGGATGTAGACTAGGAAGACTTAGGTCTTTATTGCATTCAACTACTGTAAGCACACTAAGGAAGGTCAGGTCAAGAAACCAGTATGGAAGGGATGTGCCTTAATGGTAGCATATCAAAATCTTGAAGGCCTAGGTTTTTTTTATGCCCTATCCTATATGAAACAAAATGAAAGCAGAGTTATTTTGTTTTTCTATTTCACATTTTCCTCTTTCTCAGGACTCTGTAACCTTTTCTGCAACTGCCCCTTTTTTGTGTCATTCATTCTGTCCCTGACCACAAGATTAATTATGCATCCTTCACAATTGTAGGCTCATTGGATAATTTGTCACTGTTTTTCACCCAACCTGCCTTATCTGCCTATGGTAGGCATAGAATCAGGGGAGATCTCTTATGTACATTCTCATGGAAAAAGTTGCAATGTACTGTATTTTTCAGACTATAAGGGACACCTTCCACCCACCCCCCAAAAGAGTGTGGAAATGTTGGTGCGTCTTATAGACCAAATACAGCCATTTTTGGCCTCCTGAAGCCCCAACACCACATCCCATTTTTGTGAAAAATGAGTCATTTTTTTTTTCAAAAAAATGGAGGTATTTTTGCCTTACCCAGCCCGCAGTAGCACTCTGCAGGCTTCAGCAGAGCTGGGGAAGGCAAAAACACCTCAATTTTTGCAAAAAAAAACAAAAACAAACAGCTTGTTTTCCACTCATTTTGCCTTCTCCCAGCCCTACTTAATCCTGCAGAGTGCTCCTGGGGGCCAGGGAGGACAAAAACTTTTTTTTCTTACTTACCTCTTTGAAATCTTGGTACATTTTATACCCCGCTGCATCTTATAGTCCGAAAAATGCAGTAAAATGAGGCTTTAGGACAGATGCTTTTTTATCATAATATCTTAGATACATGCAACAAGAAACCAAATACGTCATTCAGAGAAAAAATAAATTCTGAATCTAATCTTTTCAATTGTCTTTTTTATATGTACATGGTTTTAATTCAGGGTATTCAATGCCAGTATTCCTTATACTGTAGTCATTTTTACAGTCATTTGTTTGATGTTCTCTGCTTGAAGAGCTGTTCAATCCATGTCTGGTTTAAGATGAAGCAAGTGGATAGTAGATTGAGCACAAAGGTTTAGAGCAGTGGTAGTCAACCTTTTTCTATCTACCGCCCACTAATGGACCTTTCTTGATGGGAAAATTTCCTTACCGCCCACCAGTTTTTGCGCAAGTGCGGAGCATGAGCATATTTCTTTTTTTCAGACATGGGTTCTAAATTTGTTTCACAATTTAACAACTACTTTTACTCTTACGTTTTGATCTGCACNATTGTTGGGGGCAATATGCTGACTCTCTGTAAACCGCTTAGAGAGGGCTGAAAGCCCTATGAAGCGGTATATAAGTCTACTGCTATTGCTATTGCTATAAACCAAGTTTATATCAACACTATTTACTAAACCCCTTCAAACTTTTCTATGCTTGTAAATCATCCATACTTCAACCATATCTATATATCGCTTCATACAACTTCCTTTTGTTCTCACCAATAAATTTTTAAAAAAGAATAAATCCACAATTTATTTAATCCTTGCACAATTCTTGCTGCTTCAGTAACAGATAGATATGAAAACTTAAAGATACATGTCAATTTTACAATATACTATGAACTTTTGCAAAATATATGCATATTTAATCATTTAAATTTTAAATGCAGAGAATTAGTTACTGTAAATTCAAGAACAAATCTTTTTAAAAAGTCCTTCTTTGCAGGAACAGCTGATTTCTGACATCAGAGGACACATCCTCTGTCAAACAGTTTCATAAGAGTTCAAACAGAATTTTGTAACAAGCTCTTTAACGATGTTACACAACCTGTGTAATCTATGTGAAATATCACTAAGATTATTTTACTTTATTTTATATGCAAAGGATCCGCAACATCTACTTATAAAAACCAAGGATCATAGTGAAAAAATGGGACTAAAATTAAATATAAAGAAGATGCATTAAATATAAACAGGCATAGTATCAAAATCATGTGAAGTATTAATCCCATTTGATAAAGCTTTAATAAGACCACACCTGGAATACTGCATCCAGTTTTGGTGACCATATTACAAAAAAGATATTGAGACTTTGGAAAAAGTGCAAAGAAGAGCAACTAAGAGGATTAAAGACTAAAACATATGAAGGAAGTTTGCCAGACTTAGGTTTGGCTAATCAAGAGAAAAGAAGGACATGATAGCAGTATTCCAGTATCTGAGAGGCTGCCACAAAGGGGAGGGAATCAATTTATTTTCCAAAGCACCAGAAGGCAGGACAAGAAACAGTGGATGGAAACTAATCAAGGAGAGAAGCAGCCGGAACTCAGGAGAAACTTCCTAACAGTGGGACAATTAACCAGTGGAACAGCTTGCCTTCATCACTGGAGGTTTTTATGAAGAGACTGGAAAGTCACTTGTCTAAAATGGAGGGAGCTGTACTAGACTGGACAGTCATCGTCTGAGGGTCCCTTCCAGCTCTATTCCGATTCTGAAGTTCGCCAATAGACATCCTGAGAAAGTGCTTTGTTTAACTCAATGGAAATAGGGTGTGGGAATTTGCAATATCTGGTATCAGGCAGACGAGCATCTCTACATCTCTATGAAAATATTCCTAGTACAAAAATGTGTGGTCATGTAAACACTGGCAGAGATCTGAGGAAAGACCGCCTGTATTCAAAAGATGAACATATTCACCCTCCAGTATCCTTAACGATACTTTAAAAAGTTTGCATACCACAGGGTGGTAAAGAAAAATGCAAGTTGGAAATGAATATATATCAAGCTATCATGACACAAACAGGCAAGATATACATCTAAAGCTTCTGAAACAGATGATTCCCATTTAATACACATACATACCTGGTTTGTTTTTACCAGTTGGAGTAAGCCAATCACACAGGACAGAGTAGGTGAGAAAATACAGTCCACATGAATGGCAATCCCTGGCCAACAGAGCCAAAGATCCTTTGTACAGACCTCCAAGGCCTTCTTTTTTGACTATTGTCCTCAAACAATGCAAGGAACCTTGATACTTAGGTTGAGAGTCAAAGGGATGAGATGATCCTATCAAGTAATATGGTTCTTTCTGGATCTGTAATCTTACTTTGGCTATTTCTGCAGGTGATATTAGCACAACCTAGAGAATAAAATTAAGAGTTAGAGTTAGAATATGGATTAGAGTTAGGATATATATTAGAATCAAATCTTGCTGCCCAGAACCTGGAAGACCACAGCTCAACTTCATGTATCCTTTTGACCAAAATATATTCTTATATTTTCCAGTCATGTTTGCATTTTGCATATCTGCTCTGAAAATTTTCTGTAACTAGAGGAATAGGCAACATTTTAGTAGCAGGGAGGACCAGCCTAATGTTTCAGGGTGTGTGTGAGAGGTGCATAATGAAAAATTTGAATCGTATAACCTGAGAAGAGCAAGGATTTTTTCTGATTTATTTTAGAATGCAGTTTCTCTGCATCTAAACAGTGGGAAACTGCAGAAGGTGGAACCACAGATTGTCCATCTCACGTCTAAAGATTTGAAAATAAATAGGATATGCTGACAGATCCTGTTCCATTAGCCCACAGATAGATTTAGCCATGTTATTTTATTTTTTTAACCTACCCGCACAGCTCCAGTAACACAACCTGCAAATGATATATCCACTTTTGATGGTTTTCTGTCTGAAGAGCCATATCGTAATCTGCAGATACTATAAAGGAAGTTTTTGTAGATTCCAAATGAAAATGATGAAATCAGTGATGCCATTAAAACCGTCATTGACATGCCTTTGAAAAAACCTGGCACCTGAATGGAACAGAAAAGTGAACAAAATGCCTTTATACAATAGAAAAATAAAAAACTTAAGATTCCTTGTAAGGAACTCTAACCCTCACAGCTTCAACCTTAAACTGTCTATGGTGGACCTTACCACATTCCTAAGAGCTCCATAAAGGGGGCATGCATAAGCGCATCAGCGTGCCTAACGTCCCTGTCCTACTGTCCCCATTTATTTGTATTAATTTCTTTCATTTCTATCCATGTTTATATTTATACCTGCTATCTTGTACATGTTTGACAAACTAATAAATGCAAATTCAAAATACAAACTTATTGAGTATAGCCTAATACAGGCCTGTGAAACTGGCAGCCCATGGGCCGGATGTATCCCGCGCAGGCCACACCCACCCTGGCTCCGGAAAGACAAAAAACATTGCGATATGTCACGATACGTCACGTGACACAATCAAATTTGACACCCGTGTCCTAATAGTTTGAGGTTTTATTGATAGGCAAGATTTTAAAAAGCTGTAGGCACACATATTATTTTATTTCCACCTTTATTATTTTTATAAATAACTCAAGACAATATACACACACAATGCTGCTTCCTTCTCCTACTTTCCCCACAACAACCTCTGACATGAGTTGGGCTGAAAGAGAATGACTGGCCCAAAGTCACTCAGATGGCTAAAGTAAGGTGACCAGATTTTAACATTGATAAAGCGAGACACCATTGACCGGGGGGGGGGGATTTCTTGATTAAAAATTTGGTCTACATGGAGCAACAAAAATTTTCATAGAACGCAAAAATAGTATTGTAATATCCTGGCGAAATAGCCACATGGCCGCCAAAAACTTATATTCCCTTCCCGTTCTCCCGCTGTTCCCTAGCTTGTCATGCATTCTTTCCAAAAATCGGGAATTTTTTAAAACGCTGCAGGACGTGGGACAAATTGTTAAAAATCGGGACTGTCCCGCCAAAAGCGGGATGTCTGGTCACCTTGGGCTAAAGAGAAAGTCACAAAAAATAGCCAGGAAAAATATTTCCTGCTTTAGTGCAATGCCACATATTATCTTCTTTCTATGTAGCTATATATTACATTGTAAGAAATTACATTTAATAAATTTGGGGTCCTTCTACAATTTCTACAATGCCTCATCATTGGCCATCCTGGCTGCAGTTGATGGAAACTGAAGTCAAAAGGGTTTTAGAGGAAAAGTTTCCTACATCTGGCATGTGTTCAGCTTGTAGAATAAATTTGCTTTAAAAAAATTAATTATTTGGAACAGCATGCAAATCTATAGATTTCTCTTGTGAATATTGTCAGGCTCTTTAAGAGGTAATAAAGCAAAAAAATGGATTCTTTGATCAAGATAGTTAGGGTTATTATTCTTAGTTATACATACCCTTTCATTTCTATATATATCTCTGATACAGTGCCATATTCCACGATACTGTGCTTCTGTCTGAATTCTCACCTATCAAAGCAAGGTGAAGCAATCCATCATACACATCAAATGTATAAACGAAAGTACCAAAATTGGGCATTGTATGAAACATACATTTTGTTTACAAGCAATAAGGCAGGAGCATTGTAATAGTTAAAGGTGCAGAAAATTTGTTTTTGAAGAATAGTAGAGATCTATGGCTCAAGCAGTATTTATGCAACACACCAAACCAGCCAAGAACATTTAAAATTAGCCAATCACATTTTGGTCTAGCATGCTGTGTAAATCTTGGATAGGCAGGGAGGGTTTATAATTCAATGTGATGCATCCATTTATAAATCCAGGATCGTGTATGGGTCAGTTAACCACAAGGAACAGAACTGTAACTGTCTACTATGGTTCTGAAGCACTGACAGAATTAGGAGGATGAACTTTGGAAATCCTTCTGCTAAATTCTTTAACTCATCCTAGAGCTTTTATCTGAAAAAGAACAAAAAAAACTGTGTACACAATGAACTAAACCACTATAGGATTTGTTTGCTTTTGATTTGTCACACTATGTGCACCCACCCACAGTGGACTGTAAAATATAGTTTATTAAGCAAAGCATCAGCTACACAAAGTGCTAACTCAGTCACAAAGAAGAAACCTACACAGTTTCCCCTATGGTAGAGATTATACACAAAATAGTTTAAGAAACTGGCTGACATACCTTTATTGTATCCAATGGATAACCTACTGCAGCACTAACACCACCTGAAACAGGTAATTTGTATGTGAATTTGTTTCGGGAGTATTATAATTAAAGTGTTATAATTAAATAAGCCCACAGAAGATAGACCACATTCTTCAAGCTACGACATTAAAGCTTCCCAAGCCATCCCATGCATGTTCCACATTTACCAAATTCCTCCCTCTTGCTTTGAAATTATTGTTTGTATATACTTTTTGATGGACTATGAAAGTTAAGACTTTTCCCTCACCCAAACCAACAATACAATTTGTACAACAAAATACAATTAGATGTGACCAGCCCCAAAATGCACTGCAGAATGTGTCTGGGATTGAGCACTCATACTTGGAATACTTGGAATGCTGCAGATGATTAGGGACTGGAGGCTAAAACTTATGAAGAACGGTTGCAGGAACTGGGTATGTCTAGTTTAATGAAAGGAAGGAATAGGGGAGACATGATAGTAGTGTTCCGATATCTCAGGAGTTGCCACAAAAAAGAGGGAGTCAAGCTATTCTCTAAAATACCTGAGGGCAAGACAAGAAGCAATGAATGGGAATTAATCAAGGAGAGAAGCAACTTAGAACTAAGGAGAAATTTCCTGGCAATCAGAACAATTAATCAGTGGAACAACTTGCATCCACAAGTTGTGAATGCTCCAGCACTGGAAGTTTCTAAGAAGATGTTGGATAACCATTTGTCTGAAGTGGTGTAGGGTTTCCTGCCTAAACAGGGGGTTGGACTAGAAGACCTCCAATGTCCCTTCAAACTCTGTTATTCTATTCTATTCTAAAAGCTACTGCAGCCACATTGTGAAGATTGTCTTGTCTTACATTTATCATGCATTGAGCTTATATCCATAACTCTGAAACTGAGTTGAGAAAGGAGAAAAAATATACTATGTGGATGAATGTCCTCAGATTGGAAAAGCAATATATACATCACCTTGAATTCCTGGTGGAAAGGGAAATCTTAACAAAGAAACCAGAAAATGCTATGCATTTTACTAGAAGTAAATACTGGTGCTTAATAAATATGAAAAAATAGTGGGAAGGCAGACATCTTGCGGTAGTTCATTCATAAAATTAAAATATTAAAAATACAAAAGCAATCAAGAATTTCAATGTAAAATTTCAGTTCCGTTTTTTTTCTTGTCTGGATTTTGTAAACTCTTTTCTCTTTAGCTGCTGTTCCTTTGCTTTTATTTTGCAGGATCCTCCCACTTTTTCCCCCTGCAGTATTCTATTAGACGGTCTCAGCAGAATATTGTCAGAGAAATAAAAATATATCTAAGCTTTTAGGTGTGACTCTTGATTCTGCATGTTGATTTTATGTGTCCTGTAAATATTTAGCATATGAAGAAATGTTAAATAACCAGGACTTCTTTCAAAACATTTCTCTAGGAAATTAATGTTCTATATCCACAGTGAAGAATGCACCCATAACTTTCCTAATTCAGTTTGTGGGATTAAAACATATTAAAGAGGGTGGATGGACAGGTCTTAATATCACAGCGACACAACATGCAATCTTGGGGCTCCCGGATTGCTGTCGATATCTCTGTTCCTGGATGGTCCTTTTGGACCTAAACAGTGGGAACAGTGATAGAGAAGAGCATGTCCTGCTGATTTCAGGGACATCACAAAGTCCCTGATTGATCCAGGAGAAATCTCTTTTTGCCAGCTTCAAGAGAAGCAGCCAAAATGGCTGCAGAAGGTTGGGACAAGCCCCTGAAACAGAAGCAGTACAGGAAAGACAGTGTGTTGAAATGGAAAGATGCAAAGAATTTTCTTAGAAATTCAAAAAGTTTTAATAATTACAGAGAGAATTGAAAAGAAACTTGAAATTATAGATCAAAATACAGAAAGAATGGGGACAGTGATGAAGTTTGAGGACAGAGCTGAAAAAATCACAGAGACATATGAAAGTGGTAAGAAAATTGTTGACACTGACAGGAAACTGAGAGTGGAGGGAAATGATAAGTGTGAAATATGGAAAGGAGAGATGGATGAACTGGAACTTTATTTCAGATGTCAGAACATAGATGAAGAAAGGAGAAAAAATTTGGCAGAAATAATGAGAGTAATCTCGGCAGAAGCACTAATGATAACAAAAGTTAAGCTGATAAAAGGAGCAGATAGAGGGTTTCAAATGCATATAAGACATGCAATGAACAACAAGTTTTTAAGAGAAGTCCACATAAGACTTATCAAGAAAACACTTAGAATACAGACTTTACAAATGGCAAGAGGCTACACTATTTCTGGAATGATACAAGATGATGAAATGAAATGTCACAATAAAATTTAGTTAAATGTAGTTAAATTTTGAGTGCTATATACAACGTAATAATAGCTATAATCAAATAAATGATTAATAATGATAACAAAGCATTTATATATACTAGATTGAAAATATGAAATTTTATACAAACTGTAAGTGAAGATTATGGAGATGATGTTGAAAAGCCTTTTTATAAAAGATAAAACAATTCTATATAGAATAGAATATANACCCGCCCCCCCCTCCCCTATTATTGTAAGCCGCCCTGAGTCCCCTCAGGGAAAAGGGCGGCCTATAAATGCTTAATAAAAAAAAAATTACAGGTATAAGTATAAACATGAACAAAGGGAATGAGTACAAATAAATGGGGACAGTAGGACAGGGACGAAAGGCACGCTGGTGTGCTTATGCACTCCCCCTTTACAGACCTCTACGGAATCTGATGAGGTCCACGGTAGACAGCTTAAGGTTGAAGCTGTGGGGGTTAGATGTAACAACAGAGTCGGGTAGTGAATTCCAGGCATTGACCACTCTCTTGCTGAAGTCAAATTTTCTGCAATCGAGTTTGGAGCGGTTTACCTTGACTTTGCATTGATGGTTTGCCCGTGTATTATTGAGGTGGAAGCTGAAGAAGTCGTTGACAGGTAAGATGTTTTTAGCAGACAATTTTGTGAACTGTGCTTAGATCATACCGTAGGCGGCAGATTGTCCAAGCCCAAAATTTCAAGTCTGGTGGTTTAGGGGAATTCTATTGTGAGCAGAGGAGTGGAGGACTCTTACAATACAATAGCAGAGGTGGAAGGGACCTTGGAGGTCTTCTAGTCCAACCCCCTGCCTAGGCAGGAAACCCTATACTATTCCAGACAAATGGCTATCCAACATCTTCTCGTAGAGTACCTCTGGAACCGCTCAATTGTATTAATGTCCGATGTACTGTGTGGATTCCAGGCAGATGAGCTGTATTCAAGAATTGGTCTGGCAAAGGTTTTGTATGCCCTAGTTAGCAATGTAATGTTACCAGAGAAGAAGCTTTGCAAAATTAGGTTAACAACTCTTAATGCCTGTTTGGCAATGCTGTTACAGTGGGCTCTGGGGCTTGGGTTGTTTGAGATAAGTACTCCTAGGTCCTTGAAAGAGTGGACAATGCCTGGAATGGAACATAGGTGCCCTTCCTTGCTTCCTTGCATTTATTTCTGCCAACCAATGCTAATATGCCTTCATTTTAGATGTCACATCCCTCTAAGGTTGAATGCAAAGCCATGCTAAAGAGCTCTGTAGGAATTGCTCACTATTTCAGTTCACCTTTTTATGGGCCCTCAACAATCTTGAGGTTGGCCAATGAAGTTAAGGCCAACTGTGAAAAACAAACTCCCTTTTCTGTGACATAGTGGGAGACATTCATTGTCTTGTAAATTCTCAATGAACCATTCTTAAAGAAATCCTTAATTGCTACTGGCTTGCCTTCTCACAGCTGGTTTCCCGTGTCTAGACACAATTAATGGCTGCTGTTCTGCAGAGTCTACGAAAAACCCCTGCCCTTTGAAGCCAACCTAAAATAAATTTAATACCCTTATTACAGCTGTGTATGCCTCTACGTGTGGCTATTAGAACTTTATTTGGCTATCTCTGGTGTCACCGTGGGGGGTTTCTCCTTCAGAGCCCTCAACAAAGCAAGACAGATGTCATAGTATTTCATACGTCTGTGAGGAAGATAGTCTCCATAGCAACAATAACCATGCCAAAGCTCACTTGTAAAAGAATATCTTTGCCGACTGACACACAGCCTCCTTAGCAATTCAGATAGGGCCATCTCCAAAACTCAGCTGGAGGACCTGATTGGAATATATTGCATTGGGTAGAAGCAGAGCAGATGTTGAGGTCCCTGCATTATGCAGAAAACATCTCTTTCCCCCATTTTGACAGTCCCTTCAATTGCATCAATCGAGCTAGGACCATCTCCACTGAGATGCTCCAGAGATGGTGGTAGATCATATTTTAAATATGACATGAGATAGGCAGAGCTATTTAATTAGTCAGAGAAGAATCTGGAGCCAACACACCCAACTATTTTCTATGGAGATATTGGAAGCCACCTGCTCAGCATCATCTTTGGAATTGCAAGGAACCAAGGAAGGAAGACATTGCATAGAATTAAATGTATTCAATTCAGTTTTTGTAGACTTCTTAATCCTCACTCAAAACCTTAGCAATTCCAAAGATGATGCTGAGCAGGTGGCTTCCAATATCTCCATAGAAAATAGTTGGGTGTGTTGGCTCCAGATTCTTCTCTGACTAATTAAATAGCTCTGCCTATCTCATGTCATATTTAAAATATGATCTACCACCATCTCTGTAGCATCTCAGTGGAGA